GTGCATGCTGCAATGGAAGTGCTGGGGAAGGCAAGTGGATTTTCCTGCTTTGGCATAGACCACCGCATATGGTGGGTGGAATTTCTGTAGTCAGCTACACCACTGCGGAGTTTGGGGAGAGGCTTCCACAGTAGTGTGGACCTCTGGAGAGTGTTGGCACAGCAGCCTTAGGCCATGTGAGGCACTACAGCAGGCAGGAGAAAGTTCCCTCAGTCACATGGCATCACAGAGGATGAGCAGGAGGTCCCCCAGCCACGTGGGTGGTATTTCCCCCCAGAAGAAGGTGGACAGGCTTTCTCCAGCCACATGTTAAGCTGCAGGGAGTGGGTAGGCAGGATTTCCCCCAGATGAAGGTGGTCAGGCTTTCCCCAGCTGTGTGTTACGCTACATAAGGTGGATCTGTGCTACTTATCTTTATAGTGGATCTGTGCTACTTATCTTTATAGTGGATCTGTGCTATTTATCTTTATGGTGTTCCTCCTATCACCTGGCAATGTAGAATTTCCCTCTTAATTGGTCTCTTGCACTAATTTCTGTGGATTCCCTCTGGTATGCGTTACTTGGTCGCCATCTTGCCAGAAGTCCCCAGTCCTTAAGTTTTAACTTTATTTGAGTAATTTATTAAGCTTGACTCCATATTGAATAGGTATTTCTTCCTCTTCATATTTTGAGTGCCTTCCAATATATATTATTTTCATTTTGGTTAGAGTCCATAAAATGTGATTGCTGAGTTCCTTTTATATTTCAATATGTAATGCAATATTTAGTTCTAAAAGTTAGGGTAATTTTTTTCTTATTTTGTAGACTGTTCCAATTTCCCCACATTCTTCTTATTGCTCCACTGTCATCCAGTTGATTCCAACTTAGGATCAAGACTGTAAATCTTTATGGGAGCAAATATTCTTATCTTTCTCCCTCAGGGTAGCTGGTGGATTTGAACTACCCACTGTTATATTAGCTTCCTAACGTCTAACTCACAGCACCACAAGGGCTTTTCATCACTATTGGTATGTGGCTCCTAGCAGCCCTGATGTACAATAGAATGAAATACTGTCTGATCTTACATCATTTTCACAATTGGAATGTTTGAGCCCATTTTTGCCTCCACTATGTCAATCCATCTCATAGAGTATTTTCCTCTTTTTTGTTGACCATCTTCTTTACCAAGCATGATGTCCTTCTCCAGGGACTGGTCTCCACTGGCAGCATTTCAAAAGTAGGCGAGACAAAGTTAGACCCTTGTTTCTACGGAGTATTCTGGCTATACTTCCTTTGTGGTGGATTTGTTTGTTCTTTTGGCAGTCCCTAGTAATCTTTGCCAGCACCATATTCACAAATATCAGTTCTTCTCTGATTGTCTTTATTCACTATCCAGCTTCAAGGGCTTATGCATTCATTAATTGAAAATATCATGGCTGGGGTCAGATGTACTTTAGCCCTCAAATTGATATCTTGCCTCTCAGACAATATTCTATTGTTTATGTAAAGTTTTGATGGTGAATCTCCAAGAAGTAGACTTTTTTTCTTCCTGGTCTGCTCTTAAAGAGCCCTGGTGGTGTAGTGGTCACATGTCAGATTCCTATCTACAAGGTCCACAGTGTGAAACCACCACCACCAACCACTGCATTGGAGAAAGATGAGGCTTTTTAATCCAGTAACTTGGAAACTCACATGGGCATTTCTACCTGCCCTATAGCATCACTATGAGTCAGAATCAACTCGATGGCAGTGAGAGAGTCTCTTCTTAGTCTAGAAGCTCCTCAGAAACCTATTCATCAAGGTTGACCCTGCTGGTATTTGAAATAGCAGTATTATTGCTTCACAGTAACATTCAAGCCACCACAGTAGGACAAAATAATGGGCAAGTGGGGACTCAAAACTAGGTAGCCATTCGTCTAATTTTTTTCAAAAATGTTTTTGAAAAATTGCACCTGATTATTATTCAAATTTGCATTATTTTAATTGATTGTGTGGTCAAGTATGTGATCTGTGTTCATTAGCTATTTATATTCTCGCTTCTCTGATTTCTTATGCATATTTTCTGCCTATTTTTTTGTTAATTTGTAGGAACTCTTCACATTTTGGAAATGTTAATGCATGTAAGTTGAGTGTGTTATTTTAATTTTGTAATCATGCCAGGACCATTTACTAAATAAAAACCATGATTTAAATATACTTTTGTTACATGTTAAGTTCTGTATTTTATAGTAATATTCCGAAAGGTATATCATTTCCTTAATTATTTTAAAATTAATTTTTACACTATTTGGGAGAGTAATTGCTACATATGGACTTATAATTTTTATAAAATGTCCTTAAAGACCCATATTAAATTCTGATGAAAATATTTCATTACATTTACACAAGATTGCATATTAATTTTAAGGTTAGCCCTTTGTATGGCATTATACATATACATTTATATATACATATAAATAATGAAATAAGTCAAGGGATTAGCAAATTGAGTGTATGAGTTACAAAATCCTATTTCATATTCACCCACCATAATTCACACAATAGCCTCTCTTCAGACTCAATCTTACTGAAAATACTTGGAATATGAAATTATGGGGAAAACTGTTTAACCTTGCTATGTTGATGTATTACGAAGTTACAGTAGTTTTTTCTGTGCCCCAAACAAATGGCTTGTAGGAGTACTTAATATGAATACACCCCCTGCCTGTCAATTTGTTGTATGTATTTTGGTTATTTCCATGTTGCTATCATGCTATACACTATGTTACCAGTATAAGAATGAAGAAAGTGTTCTAAAATTGATTGTACAACTCTTAAATATGTTTAAACCAGTGAATTATATGTCAATAAAACTGTTAAAAAAATTTAAGTACTAGAAGGGTCATCATTGGGGGCTCATACAGCTCTTATCACAATCCAAACATACATCCATTATGTAAAACACATTTGTACATATGTTGCCAACATCATTTTCAAAACATTTTCTTTCTACTTGAGCCCTTGGTATCAGCTCCTCATTTTTTCCTCTTCCTCTTCCACCCTCCCTCATAAACCCTTGATAATTTCTAAATTATTATTATTTTCTCATTTCTTATACTGACTGATGTCTTCCTTCACCCACTTTTCTGTTGTCCATCCCCTGGGGAGGGGCTTATATTAGATCATTGTGATCAATTCCCCCATTCTCCCCTCAACTTCCTCTTACCACCCTTGTATCGCTACTCTCATTGGTCCTGAGGGGTTTTCTCCTCTGGGTTTGTTTATCCTGCCTATCTTATCTAGATAGACATTCAGAGACAATAATAAGCACAGAAAACAAGCCTACTGGTCTTTTTGGCTTTCAGCAAGCATGGTTGTGTCATCTACATGCCACAGGTTGTTAATGAATCTTTCTTCAATTCTGGTGCAGCGTTCTTCATATTGTCTCCATATTGACTATTTGTTCAGCATACAGAATGAATAAGTTTGGTGAAAGGATATGGCCTTTCCTGATTTTAAAACATGTAGTATTCCCTAGTCCTCTTCAAATGGCTACCTCTTTGATCTGTGCATAGGTTCCACATGGACACATTAAGTGGCCTAGAATTCCTATGCTTCTCAGTGTTATCTACAATTTGTTATGGCCCACATAGTCAATAACAAGGAAACATCATTTTGGTATTCTCCGATTTCAGCCAAGATACATCTGGTGTTAACAAAGATATTCCTTATCCCATGTCTTCTTCCGAATACAACTTGAATTTCTGGCACCTCATTGTTATACTGCTGCAGGTATCTTTAAATGATCTCTTAGCAAAATTTTCATTTCATGTGATATTGCTTGATAATTTTCTCATTTTGTTGTCTTACAGATCTTTGGAATGGGTACAAATAGGAATTTCTTCTAGACTTTTGGCCATGTTCCTGTCAAATTTCTTGGCATCGACAAGTTAGAACTCCCACTCTACATCAGTTTGTTGAAACATCTCAATTGATATTCTATTAATTCCCAGAGCCTTGTTTTTCACCAATACCTTCAGTGCATTTTGAACTTCTTCCTTTAGTATCACCTGCCCTTGATCATATGCTATCTGTTGAAATGGTTGAATGTTAACCAATTATTTTGGGTACTGATTTTATATAGTCCTTCCTTGTATGCACACTCATACACATATACTCATACACACGACGTGGCTTCAAAAATTTGTAGAAATGTCCATTTTATTTTAATTAAACTTTTCTAAAAACTTTTTCAAGCCCTTTCTAAGTGTGTGTGTTTGTGTGTATTAATATTATTAATTACATAATTTAGATTTTTCTACCTTTGGTATTTGTGTGTGAATGTATGTTTGTGAATGTCTGTTGATCTGCGCTAGAGTAAGATGTATATTAAACCATCTATATCCTCTCATCTCATAATCCAGGAGCTTCTAAACACTCAGTCCCAGGAATGGCATAAAAGTTTCTCTTTTTTTCAGAGAAATAGTTTTGTTCATTCATGTCTTGTCAACATTGTCAACATTTATGCCTAAATCACATTATGAAGCTGAATACTTCTCTGTCTGATGCATCTTATGAGTTATAGTACTCCACAGTTTTCTCCAAAAACTGTATACTTTATGTAGTTAAATGTAAATAATCACTGCCATTGAGTTGATGCTGACTCATAGCAACCCTACAGGACAAGACTGTAACTCTTTATAGGAGTAGAAAGCCTGTCATTCTCCTGTGGAGAGGCTTATGGTTTCAAACTGTGTACCTTGTGGTTCCACAGCCTAACGCTTAACCACTATGCCACCAGAGGCAGTCATTTTTTAAGTAATCGACTCCTCATCCCTGGAAAAACAAATTTCCATTCATCCTTGAATAGCTTTTCCTTTATTTAAGAGAAAAAAAATAGCAACAATAAAATCCCTCCTCAACAATAAAAGAAACCTAGGAATTTACCAATGTGAATCTTTTTCTCTTCTTAGGTATGCCAATTATCTCTGAAAGTGAGCTAGCTCAGTTGGCACAGATTCGACCATCAATACTCAATGGCCATGAGCAATCAACCATCAAGGCTTGCTTTGAAATGCTTCAGAAAAAAGTGTTAAATTATGAAATCTTCCAGGAGTTTATGGTAAACATTTTGGTATTTACAAAAATTTATATTTATGTCTTTGCTCCCTATACTCACATCACTACCAATGGGTTTTTTCTGTTATTTGTTTCTTTTTTTAATGGTACAATGTTGTTGTTTATCAAAGTTGTAAATACTAAATTTATTTCTGGAGCCATAGTTCATAGTGGAGCCCTGATGGTATAGTGGTTACACTTTGTGCTGTAATCC